TGAAAGCTCATCTTGAAGCTTGGAAAAGGCGCGGTCATACAACTTCTTGACCTACAACTAAGCAGAGAAGTTAGAAAGGCAGGAGTAAAAAATTTTTTAAGCACAAATGGTATGTAGAGAATATCACCTGCTTTTGGAGCCTCTCAGCCTCCTCGAGAGCAACAGGGGCGTCGAGATCGGTGTTCACGTCGACACCAACGAAGTAGTCCTTGAACATATCATCCTCTCCCTAAGAGGTCCCCGTATTGGCAGCGCCCGTGTCCTGGGCATCCCTTATTAATTTCCCTCGGAGAAAATGAAGGGCCCAACTCAAAGCCGCCCACGGTATCAATTTCTCTAAGGGTTTCTTCTCGACCCCGAAAAACTTCAGATTCGAGCCCTCCGAAATCACCAGCCGAGGATTTGCCGGCACGGACTGTACCAGGTCCAACTTGAGGTTCGGGGACTGTTCCCAAGCCCTCCTCGAGGTTCTCTTCAGCACGAGTTTGGTCCACATCGGCCACCCCCGACTCGGCAGCCTTCCGACCAACAGCTTGTGGAGTATCAGCACTCCGTCTCACCTTTGTGGCGGTCGCCGTCATCATCTTCTTAATGAAGACTTGCCGCAGCAGTCGAAGTAAAGTCGTGGCATCGGTCTTAGGCTTGCGGACCTTGGTTTTCTTCAATTCTAGATACTCGGTCGTCGCCTCCTTCTTCCTCTTCTTACCCTTGTCGGGTTTCGAGGTTTCTTCTTTACCAGGAGGAGCTGGTATTATAGATAAGCCTTCCCCGAGGCCTGTACAAGCATGATATGTTAAACTTAAAGCCACGAAGAATACTCATAAGGAACTTGGTAATAACAACAACGAAAGCATACCGTGCTTCTTGGCCTACCACCGCATTTTGGCCAAATCAGGCCAAACACGCTTGATGTAAGAAAAAGCAGAGTCTAATTGTATGATCCATCCGGAAGGTCCTGAACCGCGCTGAGGTACTAAACGGTGGCTATATAATCAAAAGAAGATCATTTTAGAAGGGGAAGAAGGGGCAACAAAATGTATTCGAGGTAGGGACACTTACGCTTCATGTTCCATTCCTCCGGTAATGGCATCCTATCAGCAGGGATGATGTCTGAGGTTCTTACTTTGACAAATCGGCTTATCCATCCCCGATCTTTGTCTTCATCGATGCTCGCCAAGAATGTCTTGGTGGATCGAGGGTGAAGCTTGATTAAACCTCGGAAGAGACGGGGCTGTACAATCTAACCAAGTGATCGAGGGTGAACGTCATTCCCTCGACCCGGTTGGAGAAATATCTGAGCATGTAAACAATCCTCCAGAAAGAGGGATAGATCTAACCGAGTGTCACTCGGTACTCACGATAAAAGTCAATGATCACCGGATCTATCGACGGTGAAGAAGAATCTACGGGGCCTAGAGTGAAAGGGTATGTATATACGCTGAGGAGGCCAGCTTTTTGTTCTACTATGCTTTCCTCAGGTTTGGGGATCTCTACTTGCACTGCCTCCCCCCATCCGTAGTCTATCTTTACCCTCTTCGTGTCGGTCACCACACTGATGTACCGAGACACGGGCTTGCATCGACCCGGTGTAGAAGGGGGATTTTCAATGGTAAAATCGGACACCGTATCGAAGTGGCCAGTGGTACATTGCTCAATGCTTGGAGGTATTTTTGGTTTTCCCTTAGATAGATGTGATGAAGAAGTGGTACCCTCCTTCTGAGGTACCGTTTTGGAAGTTTTAGCCATAAATATAACAAAGTTTCTAAGGAAGAAGATGAAGAGGCAAGCACAGAGAAGGGATGAATACAGAAGGTGGTGAACTTTGATTTGAAAACTTGAAGATACTGTAAAAGTGTGAATGACAACAGTTGAGGTATTTATAGAAGCCGTTTGGGCAACGTTGGAGAAGCAGAAAAGTCAAACTAATCATGTCTCATGGGCTTCTCGATGATCGTGCTGACAGTTACCTCTGCGTAGCCTTTGAGTCATATCATTTAATGCTCTGATAGGCTGATCGTCATGAAGGAAATATCGAAGAGGCAAGAGTTCAAGGCCATTTCTTATCATTTTTACTCTAAGAAATGGGAGGACTATCTATATACGGCTAAAATGGGAGAGTCCAATTTTGTGATCATTGTAACGCTCCATAGCCCGTCTCTAGAAGGCTCGAGGAACAACTCGAGGTTCGACCCCGAGGGTTCCCTATACTCGACCTCAGGACAGTGCAAATTGGTGGCTATGTTGGACAAGTGGGAAATTCCCAAAGCACGTGGTTAGAGTTAACAAGGTCTACAAGAATAGTACAAGCCCGTACCGTGACATTAAATAGTTGTACCAGCTGCATATCTTTGTAATAAATGGTTGTACCAGCCGCATATCATTGTAATAAATGCCCCTGTACTATGTTGGAATTCCCCCTCCTATATAAAGGGGACCCTTGTCATTTCTTGCACACATGATATTTAATACAAGAACAAGAACATTCTCTGCTCTCTAACTTACACATTCTCCATTGTCTTTCCTTTGATTTATTGCTTTCATTTATTGTGTTTTACTGATTGTTTCTTCATTTATTACTCATCATTGATCATAAAGAGCCACCATCAAGGCTCCCATAACTGTTAGTTCTTTATCGGCCATTCCCAGTCAGGCATTTTGGCCCTACCTCGAGGCCCAGCTTAGGCTAGCTCGAGGCCGCGATTCACAACTATTCGGTTTGCAAAACATACTGTCTTCGAGCTCTTATCTCACTTTTCTAATTCACACTTAGCATCTATCGCCTAACAACTAGCATTAAAATAAATCACATATTTTTAGAACCACAAAATCAAATTTAACTGTAATTATCATTTTCAAGGTAAACAGTTAGCACTGTGTAAGTTAAGAGCATGGTGGTAATTATTCAGGAAAAAACCTCACCATAAGAAGAGGCCTCCCATTTGCCCTTCGAAATCTTGTGCCATGCGCGCTTGGAGTACAACCTCTGCTTGCAGATCCCCTTGATCTACTCCTTGATTCGAGGAATTGCATTAGGAACTTGAGCAATAGCTGCACGACGACAAACGCATGCGATGAAGAGAAGGAACAAAAATAAGTGAAAACTTAAGGAAGACAATACTTACAAGATGCGTTCCACTTCTCGGTGAACGATAGAAACTCGGGAAAGATCATGTCTTCGGTTTTCACCTGAACGAGCCTCCCCTGCCAGCCTCGGTCTCGGTCATCGTCGATGCTCGAGAAAGGAGCCTTGCTTGCTCGGCGAACGAGCTTGATCATCCCCCCTCGAAAAATTTGGGGACTGTATAGGTAGAGTAGATGGTAGAGGGTGAACCGAGGGATTTCCGTATTGTTCACGAAATGGCGTAAGAGGATCACGATCCTCCAAAAGGACGGGTGGATCCACCCAAACCACACCTCGTACCTTTTGCAGAAAGCAAGGACTATGGGGTTTACTGGCGCAAGTGTGAAAGGGCAAGTGTAAACACTTAAGTACCCCTCCACGTAGGTAGTGATGTCATCATTGGGCCCAGATACGACCATATCTTTACCCTCCCAGTTGCAGTCTGCTCGAACTATGGGTAGATTTTCCTCGGTAACGGAGCATACGTATCTCCATTCCCCTTCGCCTCGATCATGTTGATGAGAGGCCTTCTCGACGAGAAAATAATTCCCAATAGAGCAGCCCCCAGGTACGAAGCTCTTCATGGGGGGCTCTTGAGCCACCTTAGGGGTGGCCACCTCGGCACCCATAGCCGGGTTGGAAGTTGAGGGAGCAGTCCGTTGAGGCACGGACGTGGAAATATTAGCCATCGTGATCTGGGAAAATATGAAGATTTGAAGGAAAAGTATGAAGATTTTGAAGGTGGGGACGAAGATATGAATGTCTGAGTTGAAGATCCAAGATAAGTATATGAGGATTAGAGATGGAGATATGAAGGTTCAAGGAGCAATTTATGAAGATTTGAAAAAGTTAAAAACCGTTAGAGAGTTCGAGAGTAAAATCTAGAATCGGAAAGTGAAAGAAGTGAAAAAGGTTAAAGCTTTTATAGGGGAAAAGGAGTCAATGCGCGACGTTTCACATTCAAAGGCAGCCAGCCGGTGATTGACACGTGTTCGAAGTTAGAGCGACGCAACTGATGGGACGTTTTGATTTATCCGTCACCTCAGTTGTAACTTACGAAGGAAGAAACGGGGGTTCATCTACAGTTTTCCATCATTTTGGCAAACCTTCTCTCCTGAAAACGAGGGTACTATCTGTATACGGATAAAATCGGGGATAATGCATACCCCGATTCTCGATGAAGAAAACGGAATGAGGGCATGGACACACGAGATTGAAATCGGGAGCCCTTCGTATCGAGATCCATGAAAGTTGAACGATGTGCTCATAATCGGGCCTGATAAAGCGACGCGCCCCGGACCCAGGACGAGTTCTAAAGACCTCGGGAAACACGATAAACAGTTACACACGACGGATAGAGGGCCGTTATATCCGCATCCAACCGGCTATCGCGACGCGGATCTTGCTCGATATCTGGTAAGGATCAGTAATTATCGAGAAAGGAAAACTTTTACCTTTTTTAGACTTGCACTAGGGATGAAACTCTCCTGCTATATAAAGGGGAAGTTTTTCTTTTGTAAGACACGTTGTACCACGCAAATCAAAGCAATACAAATTCATTTTCTGCCTTTTAGCTACTATTAAAGTCCTTGTTCACTTAACCCGTTCTTCATTAACGATCGAGCTCGAATCGAGGATCCGATCGAGAACAAGGCCATTGTTTGATATCTGTTCAGGATTGGCCGCGGCGTCGCAATTAGTTTGATTGTTTAATTCGTTTATCTTATATACTTAATCGTTTTTTGTTGAATCAAACTACGTATCCTTAAACCGCGTACAAATTTAATTGTTATCCGATTTAAGGGTAAACATATGTAGTATACTTATATCCAAAGCAGAACATATCTATAGGCTATAAAACTGAAACGTGACAACAACATAATGCATAATACAATTTATTAAATCCATTACAAAGGTCAAAAGCAAGCTTGCCAAAACTTCTAAAAACAACTATAAGTACAAATAAATGGCTCTTCATCAATATCTTCGGGCAAAAAACCCCAAAAATACAAAAAGCAGGTCACGCTTTCATCTCTAGGCAATCAATTTTAGATTTCTGTTCACACCAATATCAATTGTGTGCATTTTAGTTAATAACATAAATTTATATGAAGCAATCTTCTCTCTTGAATCTGAACTCCCATCACATTCTTGTTCATAAAAGCAAAAGAAACTCCTCGCTAATTCAGGAATCAGTATACACTGACAATTTAAAAGTTAATCTCACGCCTCTCAGCAAAAAACTTACCACTCACAAACTGATCAGGGAGCAAAGCAAGCCAGACTGCAGTATCAGCAGCTTCTTCAGGAGAAACATGCCCAGCCCAACCAGTCATAGCAGTTTTCACCCAACCCGGACAATAGCAATTGATATATATTTTATGACCCTCTGGCCTTTCCTCGAGTATCCTTGCCATTAATCTGGTGTAAGCATTAACGGCTAGCTTTGACAATGAATAATCTGTGAAAACATGAGGCCATCCCTCTGATTCCCAAGTCCCATCTTTTACTTGTTCCAAAAATTTGTTCATAGTATTGTCGATGACTTCCTCGGATAGCGTGTCGACGTCTTCCAGTTGTTGTCTCACACTGACATTTGAAATTCCCTGGTAACATCAAGCAAAAATAGATCATTCTCAGATGTTGTTGGAAAAAATAGTTTTTTGGGGCCTAGTACACGCATAAGGGGTGCACTGCTAGCTAGCTAATTAGCCGGTCTATTAGGTTGTCTAACCCTAACCTTAAGTGCAGTCTATATAAATACCATTATGGGTGTTTGGAGATTGACTAATACACACAACAAATGGGGCTAGGGTTAGTAGTTCTCTGCATCAAAACAAGAGGATTTTTAGCTTGTGGAAAGAGGGGATCCATCCACCACGTGAGGATTTCTAACGACCAGTAATTCGAGTCGTGGTTGCTACAGTCCGCCAAGGGGAAACCCGCAGGTCTCCTATACTCCTTAACTATTACAGATGCTTATTCCAAGAACAAGAATGAAATAAACAGAGGTCTAATAACTTACATTTCGTTTGCTATTAAGTCTTCCCAATCGTGAGGTCACACTAACAATTCGAGCACCAGCTGAAGAAGGCCTCATTAACGGAATCAGAGCTTTAATCATATTTTTGGTGCCAAAGTAATTGGTCTGGATAACAGTTTCAGCAAACTCCACAGAATTTTCTTTGCCATAATTGAAATTGACTCCTGCATTGTTGATCTACAAGTCCCACACATTAGCTGAAATTGGATAAATTTTCAAATAATACCCCAAAAAATAAGTGGCAATCAGAATACAAAGTAATTGATACCAGTATATCTAGGCCACCATATGTTTCTTTAATCCAATCACAAAAAGCTTGAACTGATGCAAGATCCACAATATCCAATTGATGAAATGACACATTTAGACCTCCTTCTTGCAAGACTTTAACTGCTTCTTCCCCAACTGCTGTCTCTCGCGACGTAAGAACTACAGTTACGCCATGTGATGCCAGTTGATGAGCAATCTCAAATCCGATTCCTCTATTTGCACCCGTCACTACAGCAATAGTGTCAGATGACCACCATCTGAAAACCATATTGTAGCATGTAATTAGCGTTATGCTCAAATTAAAGAACCTAAGGGAGGATATTCTGATATGTTATGCTCATAAAAAGTAGTCGCCGCCAAATTTAACCATGCTGGATAAATTTCTACGGATTCAATTGAAACAATTGTTTCTGATTCGATCTATACATACATATGCAAAAGAAATTTTAAAATTTATTAATATAATAAAATCACACACATTCTGAACTCACTAACTCTAAGAATCTATGCTCGAGAAGCTAAGACAAAGATGCGAGAGACTGCATAATGCATGGTCTTACACATGGTTTTCCTCCTCTTTATTACCGTATATAATAGGAAACTCTATCTTCAATCTTTGATTATTGAAAGGTGGGCCGAGGCAACAGTGTGAATTAAGCTCTCCTAATAAAATGCAAAATGATCATTATATTCATGAGTGTGGCAAGTAATGATGTTGCCATTTCGATTGGATGAAGGATCTAGCCCAAAATGTAAAGAAGGAATGAAAAATAAAAACTATAGAAATTGGAAAAGCCAGACCTTTGGTGATCAGAATATGGAATAGTACGGAGAAGAGAGATCTCTTGGCGTCTTTTCTCCTTTCTTTCCTTTGCCTTTTCCTTTTTATCCATTATTATTATCTTCGACGATTGTTCTTCAAAACTCTAGCTAATCTGCAGCTGCATTCATCTCCTGGTTTGGCTTAAGTTCGAATAATTGTTAGATAGAATGGTAGGAGAGTCGATTGATGTAACAGAAACGCGTACTTCTTCCGATTTATTTGGAGCAATCCTTGTACTCCGCCAGTGTTTGTTTGAACAACCTTCAATTAAATACTTCACCCATATAAACCTGAATAAATAAAACAAAAAAGGAAAAATAATTAAACATGGGTTCCTAGTATCTTACCAATTTCCATGGAATTTTTTTTTAGAAAGAATTACAAGAAAATACACATAACTTAACACCATAATAAAAAGGCCCATGTTTTTAAGTTTTACTCTACCTAGCCCATATTGTACATATTTTGAAAGCACTTGCAAATTCAAAATAAGTGTTCTTACAACCATTGCTTCTAAAAACTATGGAGTTAAATATGTATTCTCACAACCATCACTTTCGCTCTCTCTTCTTCTCACATCTTCTACATATGCTTCAAGGGGCCGGGTATTTTCTGCTTCTCCTCCTGTGTCACCTAGTTGCAATGTGAGAAAATTGAAAAGTATAAGTCCACCATTAAAGGCCATTCAAAGCTTTGCTTTTAAAAATATAATTTTTTCAGTTTGTTAGTTGTTTGGATTGGGTGTTGTTTCAATTGATTGCAAATAACAAAAGGAGTTCAAGATTTAAATTTGAAGTGATTTGGAGTAAATTTGAGCAAGATTTGAGTTAAATTTCAAAAAAGATGCAAGGAAGAAGACGAAGACAGTTTTTTGTATAATTTTGTATAATCTGTATAATAGTGTATATGAATGTTAAACACATTTTATATACTATTATACACTTTTATACACCTTTATACAAACATCTGTAGACGAACTTCTTCCACGATTTTCAATTGCAATTCTTGTCCAAAACCAGTCCAAATTTTCCCTATACAACCTCCTTATACTATTTCTAACAAGTTTAAATAATACCCGTTCCAGAATTCTCATGAAATCAAATTTGGAATTTAAACCCACATATTTAAACTTGTTAAAAATCTAATTTTCACTACCTAAATGGATTTGGTTTGTTGAACTAATATTTGAGTCACGGTTATTGATTCGAAAGTTAACATAAAAGCTTGAGCAATCTTTTTTAAAAATTAAATAGTAATTTGGAGAACCTATTGGAGTTGAATGTTGAGTATTAGCCTATTATTTTTGGGCTAGTTGGTTGTAAACTGAAATACGTGCTATAAAATTAAAAAATAGGAAGCCCAGTTATTATTATGTGAAATTTTCCCAAAAATTTATAACAGGAGGTCCTTTCTAATGTTCTTTTTCCTCATGTGTTGATACACTTTTGGAAAAATTGAATTCACAATAATATAACTATTTTTTAAAAAAAAATAAACCCCATAATTTGAGTTTATAGTTGAATTCAAATACTATTGGATTGTATGAATTATTAGTTTAAATTAGAAACTAGATTGGAACGCAATTAAATTAAGTTTAAAACATAAAATTGAGAATTTTGAAGGCAAATAAAAATTGTCCTAAATTGAACTTCATTTATAATTTGAATTCTTAATTTAAAACTATAACATGTCACCGTAAATCAGCTCAAGTTAAAATTTGATTAAATTATCTCTCACAAAGAAGGACGTAAGAATAAATTTTATAGTAATTATCATTACAACAAAAGTAATTTTTTTAAATAAAATTATCTTATTTAGTTAGTTACTAAATCTTCTACTAATTAATAGAGTTTAAGGGAAGTCGAGCCAGACCTGAAGTGAGCCTCACTGATCAAACCGGACTTTGAGCGAAACCAGTTTTTGGACTGGTCATTCAAAAATAGTAAGCGTTTGCAAAGTCATTGAAAAATAACTATTATTTTGCTGCAACACGGAAAGTTCCAGTATAATATATTGGAGATCGGTGCACCCGTGTATGAACTTCCAGCATATTATGCTGGAACTCCAACACGCGGAAAGTTCCAGCATAATATACTGGAGATTGTAGCACCTGTGTATGAACTTCCAGCATATTATGCTGGACCGATATATTATAGTGGAACTCCAATATAATATGCTAGAAGTCCAGTATATTATATTGGAGTATTTTTTGGATTTTAAATAGTATTTTCGTTCAAATTTATCTTTATATAAAAAGTGGCTAAATTTTGATTCGTTTTAAAACTGTGGTTACTTTTGATTGCCCGCTTGTAAATCTTGATATTTTTTAATTTTTGCCCGATTACCGAACAAAGCGTCCAGCCCAAGTTGAGTGTTCATATGCGGGTTTAAGGTTAAAATATCATGGTATAGCCAGTTTTCACACTGGTCAATGAAAAATAGCCAGCGTTTATCAAGTCAATAAAAAATAGCCACTATTTTGCTGCAACAGGGACCGGTCCAGTATAATATACGGGAGTTCTGGTGCATTTGTGTACGAACTCCAGCATATTATGCTGGACTGGTATACTTTGCTAACTCCTGTAAAATTTGCGGGAGACTGGAGCACCAGTGCTCCAAACTCCAGTATATTATACTGGACAATTATACTTGCTGGAACTCCCGTAAAATTTACGGGAGTTCCAGCATAGTTATTTGCGGGAGTTCCAGCATAGTTATCCTGGAACTCCCGTAAAATTTACGGGAGTTCAATCATACTTATGTTGGAACTCCCATAAAATTTGCGGGCGTATTTTACCAGATTTTGAACAGTATTTTCGCTCAGATTTAAAGTGGCTAAATTTCGTTGACTTTTGAAACATGGCTATTTTTCAACGACCAGCGATAAATATGGCTATTTTTTAATTTCTCGCGGGTGTAAGTGGAAGCCGAAAGGCCACGCAACGCATTAGTTAGACAGACCGCCTTACAGCTTAAATTCCAAACCGAAGAACATCTTCTCCTCAACCAAAGTCTGATTTGAGTTTTGATTCTCAAAGCAACTGTAGTTGTAGGAGTAAAAGAATGGCGAATTTAAGAAGGGCACTTCTCTTCACCATTCCTCGGATCCTCAATTCCTCTAACAGGTCATCTGTTGCAACCTCCACGCTCCCATCTCATAATCTTTACAGGTTTGAAAAATCTAACATTCTTACCCTCTTTACCTGTTTATCTTTTTTTTTTTTTAAAAAAAAAATTAATTATATTTGCTTGTTTAGGCCTTTGGCTGGAACATTTTCGCGTTTCCTTTCTTCCAACGAGGCTTTATCGCAGAATAATATCGATCTCTCCAATGAAGAGAGCAAAAGACGTTTATTTAACAGGTGACATTATTTTTTTACTATTTGGTATGGTGGGTTATAATTTCCTCCGCCAGGTTCATAATATGTTGTCGGTGGTTTTATCTTGTATGGATGTAGGCTTATTTACCGTAGTAAACAAAGAGGGTATTTGGAGCTGGACCTTGTTCTGGGCAAATGGGTGGAGGAACATATACAATCCATGGACGAAAATGGAATTAAGTCCCTTGTTCATGTCCTTGACCTGGTAATTTTCTTTGTTTTTCATTATAATTCTTTTTTCTTATTTCCTTTGGACTTCTCCTTTTTGTATGCCAATAATTCGAGATCATGCTTTTGCTGCTCTAGCTCGTAATAGGATCTTGTTATGTTGTTTTCTTTTTCTTTTGGGGTTTTAGTATGTTTTAAGCAGTGTTGTGAAGAGTGTGAAGCGAGGAAAAGCGACAACCCCCATTTTACGAAAAGCGAGAAGCAAGAAGCGAAGCGCTCGCTTTTTTTAAGTGAAGCGGAATTAAAATAATTTAAAATAAATACGGCATAGACAATACATATAATTGTAAGCAAATGTTCAATACTTCAATTAAAAAACTAAAGAGTAGCATCAATTAAAGCACAAAATGAGCATCCTATTCTTCTACAAGATTGTCAAATTCTTGTATTCCACTATCATTATTATATTGCTCGTCATCTTCTTCAACTTCATCTTCTTCATCAACTAGGGACAAAGTAGCTGCCTGTTCTCCCTTCCTCTGTGAACTCGAAGTTGAGGTACTCCCCCTCAAACCATAAATCCTCTCCCCAATTTCACGCGCCTCCGCAACATCACCCCAAGTGAAATCAGAAGTATCCTCAAATACTTCTTCAACTGGATGATCTTCCGGGACTTCAGTTAGCCATTCATTAGCATCATCGATGTTGTCCAATCTAATTGGATCAATTACATTGCGAGTGTTGTAACGACGCCTCAATGTTCTATTGTACTTAATGAAGACTAGATCATTGAGACGCTTCAAGGTTAGTTTGTTCCTCTTTTTGGTATGAATCTACAAATAATAAGTAATTAGTAAGATTAGGACAATTGAGATATAATTTAATTATCTCAATATACTAAATCTTTCTTATTAGTTCTTACATGCTCAAACACGCTCCAATTCCTTTCATACCCAGATGAGCTACATGTTAGACTTAGAACCTTGATGGCAAACTTTTGTAAATCCGGAGTGGAATGACCATATTGCTTCTACCATTCAACTGTAGAAGTAGAACAATTTTTCAAAACATTATATTGATAAAGAATTAACTTATTAACTATAAAACAACATATAAGCACTCGATCACCTGGTGACTTCGTCTTTCTTTGTCTAATGGCCATGTTTTTTCCAAAAAGTTGCTCGACATTCCTATACTAAATTGCTCTGTGATTTTATCTTGCACGGATTCTTCAGGTATCAACTTACCATTCCACAAAGGTTCATCTCCTAGAATCCTCTCTTCATTGTCATAAAACAGTTCCGGGTTCAAAACAAGTCCAGTTGCATGCAAAGGGCTATGAAGTTTACTATCCCACCTTTTATCTATGATCTCAAAGACTCTTTTGTATTTTCTTTGGTCACTAAAAGAGGCTTGAATAGCCTCCTTTGCCCTATCAATTGCTTCGTACAGGTAGCCCATTGGTGGCCTTTGCTCCCCGTCCACCAAATGAAGCACTTTAACTAAAGGACAACCAATCTTCAATGCATGAACCACATTGTTCCAGAATGAAGGAGAAAGTATAATATCTGCGGATTCTCTCCTTCGAGTTTCCCTTCCATAGGCACTGCTAGTGTACTCATCTGAAATAAACAACTTCTTCAAATTGCTTTTTTGCTCATACATCCTATGCAAAGTCAAGAAAGCAGTAACAAATCTTGTCTTTGCAGGTTTCACCAAGCTTCTTTGTTTAGTGAATCTCTTCATCATGTTCAATAACAAAAGCCTTTGAACAATATAGGAATGCACTCTAATTGCCTGATTAAAGACAGTACTGAAGGGTCTTTCCTTGAAAATATCACCGAAGATCAAATTAACAGAATGTGCTGCACACGGAGTCCAATAGATATG